AGTGTCCTCAGATCGTTGTCCCACCATGCCTGAGTCCCTCTGATGTCTTTTTCGTGTCCAAATTTTTCTTTTTACAAGGACAGCAGTCAGATTGGATTAGTGCCTGCCCTAACGGCCTCATTTTAATGTAATCACCTCTCTAAAGACCCAATTTAAAAAAAAAAAAGTCACATTCTGAGGTACAGAGTATGAGCTTCAACACATGCATTTTGAGGGGACACAATTCAGCCCATAAGAGTATCTTACTACATCTTGCCTACAAGGTGGGGGAAAATGATCAAGGCTAAAGCTGAGCTGGGTAAAGCAGCAGCAGCCACTCATTAGCCATGATGGGGACATTTGGTCCTTTGTGTGGTTTGGACAGTGTTATTACTGAGATGTGATTATGGAGTGGTCTTGTTTTTGTCTTCATCCATCACAGTCACAGAGTGGCCTTGTCAGATGCTGATGTTCTGTGAAGTTATTTACATTCAGCAGGAGAACTCCACAACCTGGCTGTGGATGTTGCTAGTTCGTAGCAACACCAAGTGTTCACTGATAGAGCCAGGCCGGCTTCTGGCTATCAGGAGATGTCTTCTCTTTCTCATAATCTAGGTACAAACTGTGCTTGTTAAGCAAATGCAGCTTTGGGATAATCACCACACTTTCTAACTTCTAAATTTTGATGCCAACAAGGAATGTGGTAAAACTCCAGTCCCCTGGAGTTAAAATTCCAGGAATGCACGGAACCTCAAGCCCTGGAAGTACAAGGAGCAGGTCTTCAGCTGCTCACTTTGAGCACACAGTCTGCTCATGGAGCGCCACGTTTGAACATTGGGGAATCCCTTGGCACCCCACTTTACTCAGTGTATTAGTTTTCTGTTGCTGTGTAACAAGTTACCACAAACTCAGTGGCTTAAAAGAGCACACATTTATTGTCTCATAGATTCTCTGGGTCTGGAGTTCAGGCAATGACTTAACTGGTCCTTTGCTTAGGGTAACATGAGGCTGCAATCAAGGTGTTTCCCAGGATTGGTTTCTCATTAGGGGCTTAACTGGGAAAGAATTTTCTGAGTTCACTCAGATGTGGGCAGAATTCATTTCCTCATGGTCGTAGGACTCATAGCAACTTGTTTTTCAAAAACTGCAATACAGAGGCAGAATCCAGCAAGAATGGGTGCTATGCTGTTATATAGTCATGCATATGTAAGCAACCAAACACATCCATCACTTTTGCTACCTCCGTTGGTTATAAGCAAGTCACAGGTCCTACTTACACGCAAGAGGACAGAAGCATGAATACCAGGAGGCAGATCAAGGAGGCCTGCCCACCATACCTGGGCTGTCCAACCATTTTGGGAAACCTGAGTGTGTTAAGTGACTCAGGACTTGGAAGGCTGCAGGTCAGCCACACCAGGCAAGGCAAGGCAGGGTGAAGGCACAAGGGTAGGGCAGAAGCCACAGTAAATTCTCTGCAGACCCTGAAAATTTTGTTTTGAAGGAAGTATCTGATTATTGGGAAAGAGCAAAAAGGTCTCCAGGGTATAATTTCCTCAGGTGACTGCTATGAAGGGAACAGGCATTCCAGGTTTGTGCAAAATCAGGAAGCCATTGGTGGGATGCAGAGGAAGAATTTAAGAGTAGGTGGACATAGGAAGGTTGCCAGGGGTATGAATTGCACGTGAAAGAGAAACAGAAAGGAGCAGGAAAATGTTTACAAACATCCAGGTCTCTGGCAGTGGGAGGTAAGAGGTATAGACCAAGAACAATACTCAAGTAAGGAAGTTGAACTAGATAGAGAAATTCTGTGCATAGATAGAGAGGAGGCTTCTGGCACATTTAGCATCTCCTTCCTGAGCAGAAAGGAGAAACCCGGGAGGCCTTCAGCCTAGATGTCTTGAAAGATTTTATCTATTTATTTTTTAGAGAGAGGGGAAGGGAGAGAGAAAGAGAGGGAGAGAAACATCGATCACTTGCCTCTTTCACGGCCCCAACTGGGGACCTGGCCTGCAACCTACAGCCTAGATTTCTTTATAAGGTAGGGGAGGAGCAAGCCATGCCAGCCTGCCTGTCACCAGGGCAGTACTATGGAGTGATAGGGGACCCAGGGATGCCTGTGGAGACATGTATGGGGAGTACCTGGGATTCTACTAAATGTTTGGACACTGAATGTCTTACAGAATAAATCAGTGAAGGCAGGAAGCCCTGCTTAAAAAACAGCAGAAACAAAGTTATCTATATGCCAGACATTTCAAACTCATATCTGGCCATATCATGGACCATAAAGTCCCATTAAATTCAAAATAATTGAAATTATACAGAGGATGTTTTCTGATTACAATGGAATTAGATTAGAAATCATTAACAATAAGATATCTGGGAAAAAAACCCATAATTTGGAAATTAAGCAATATACTTCTATACTGTCTACGGTCAAAGGAAAAATCACCTTGCCCTGGTCTGTGTGGCTCGGTTGGTTGGAGCACCATTCTGTAAACCAAAAGGTGGAGGTTTGATTCCCGGTCAGGGCACATGCCTAGGTTGCGGGTTTGGTCCCTGGTCAGGGTATGTGTAAGAGGCAACCAGTGGATGTGTCTCTCCTCTCTCTTTCCCTTCCTTCCCCTCTCTCTAAAATCAATAATCATATCCTTGGGTGAGGATAAGGAAAAAAATCACCCAGGAAATTAGAAAGTATTCCTTACTGAATGATAATGCATTTCAAAATCTGTGAGATATAGCTAAAGCAGTGCTTGCAGGGAAATATATAGCTTTAAATGCTTATATTAGAGAAGAAGAAAGATTCAATGACCTAAGATTCCACCTTAACAAGCTAAAAAAAGAAGAGGGAAGTACATTCAGAGTAACCAAAAGGAAGGAAAAACAGGTAAGAGCAGAAATCAATGTAATAGAAATGAAAAAAACGAGAAGATTAACAAATTCCACCATGTTTTTGCAACACATTATTCCTCCCCCTCTTCCCTCTAGCCACAGCTGATTGGTTGGTAATTCATTTGCAGTGGGGGAAAGACTATGAAGTAATAGTTAATTATTGTATTGGGTTGGCCCCAAAATTCATTTGTTTTTTTCCCCATAAGATGGCTCTAGTAGCCCTTGGTTGTTTTTAACTTCATTAGAAACAGTTTTGTTAGATTGCATTGTGACAGCTGTCATATCAACGTGCATTCAAAACAAACATCAAAATTGGTGAATTTTTTATGTAGTCATATTGAAAATAGAAGAAAGTAAGTGATATGTTTGACATATTATGTTTTATTTCAATAAAGTGAAAAATGCAACTGAAACCCAAAAAAGATTTGTGCAGTATACGGAGAAGGTGCTATGACTGATTGTACGTGGTAAAAGTGTTTTTGCGAAGTTTTGTGATGGAGATTTCTTTCTGGAGATGCTCCACGGTTGGGTAGACCGGTTGAAGCTGATAGCAATAAAACCAGGACATTAATTGAGAACAGTCAATTTATACCACTAGAGAAATGGAGGACATGCTCAAAATATCCAAATCAGTAAAGTTACTGGTGAAAGTGAAAAATGCGTCTTTTATTTTATGGAAAATAAAAAAACATGAACTTTTTGGCCAACCCAATGCTTAACTTCCCTTTTGGATTCTTGGTGCTGTCGTCTCGCAACCAGAGAACGTTTTCGCCAGTAGGTGGCAGCGCTGGCACCTTGAAAACCGGGACAGGCCGCTAGTGGGTGAGATCGGGACCCAAGATTGCCGGGGGGCTGAAAGGGAGTTCGTTGAGTAGGAGGGAGAGGGAGAGAAGGAGGGAGGGACAACTCCAGAAAGTAAATACACTTAGGACAGGAAAATGTTAACGATTTCACAAGAATACCTGAAGCCTGACGCCCGGGGAATCAAAGCTTGGAAAATTTAGTTCGTTAAAGCCGGGGTTCTTTGCTGGAGTACTGAGGATGTGCTTCAGGGTCTCAGAAAACCCCTCCTTCCATTGCGTGCAAATCTGGGCACCCCATCCCATTCCTCTGCCGCCCACAATTTCTATTAGAGTTTCAAAATAAACAGGGACTTTAAAACAACATCCTCTGCTACAAATGCTCCATTAAACACCACTCAAAAGGTAATCATGCCTAAGTCTGGGCTGTAAGGGGAGGTGGTAAAGTGCCCTCAAGCTTTGGGTGGGAGGTGGCAGAGGCCGGGCACAGCTAGCTGCTTTTACAATTTTTTTCTTCCGGAAGGGTCAGTGCCGCCCCTTGGGGAAAAGCTTCTTGGAGGATTTGGAGCGGAAAGGGGTCGGCCACATAGTGCAGGATCACTATGGGCACCAGGCGAGATGCTTTTCTTAAATGTCTTCATTTACTCTTTGCAGTAATCATTCGAGTTTGGTGTTCACATCCTTATAGCATTCCCTCAAATCCCTTAAGAGGACACTTAATGGAGTGCCGTCTTTTGTGGTTCCGTACTTTAAGTGAATGCACACATTGACTGCTCCCCATTTTTTACAGACAAAACTGCCATACATTTTCTCTGTTTAATGGACTTTCCCTTAAAAATAGCCTCTCGTTTGTTTCATTGGTCTGTCTCTTTCAGTCAAGAGACAACCTCGGCATCGGCAGCAGAAACACAGACGTAAGGGCGGGAACCAATACGATTTTAGGCTGAACTTAGAAGACAGTCGTGGAACCTCACTTTTCCCTTCTCGCCGACCCCGGCGGTGGCCGCCTGCCCTGGCAGCGTTTGGGCGGGAGAACCAGGGGCCCGGGCTACGTCGCCTCCGGGTGGCGCGGGGTTGGGAGGGGTCGGACCGGCCCCACGTGGCCGTCGCGGACCCGCTCGTCTGGCCCCGCCCGGAGGCGGCCGCGCGAACTGCAGGGGGAGCAGGCGAGAGGTGCGGGGCAGTCGGCGAGCCCCGGCCCCCGAGCCCGGCGAGCCATGGCGGGCGCTCGGCCAGTCCGCAGCCCCGCGGCCGCCGGCTAGCCGAGCCGGACGGCCTCTGCCGCCTCACTCCTTGCCTCCGCGCCCAGGCCTCGGAGCCGCCGCGAGGAGGATGAGTCCCTGGAGCTGGTTGCTGCTGCCCACCCTCTGCCTCCTGCCCACCGGCGCAGCCCCGCGGCGCGGCGCTCCCGCCTCCGCCCGCTGCGAGCTCAAGCCCCAGGTAAGGCACGTCGGCGCGGGCGGGCGGCCTCCCGGCACCTCCCAGGTGATTGCCTTCCGAACCCCGCGAAGCTCCGCGCACTCGGACGCCGAGCGGACTCTGCAGGCCGGGCTCCACCTCCCACAGCGGCGCCTCCTTGCTCACGCGTCCTGCTGCGTCCCCGCTCCCCTTTTTTTTTAAGCGGGGGCGCAGCCCTGCGGCCGCAGGGAACCCTGTTTCCCAGCCACGCGCCATTATCAGACCAAGGGAGCCCCAGCGGAGTCTCCTGGGTCTTGCTAGTCTGCGTCGGAGATATTCAGGGGTTAAATTCACGAGGACCGTTTGGGGTCAGGACTTGGGCACATTTACCTTGGAACTTTGTACCGCCTTTTATTTCCTTAACCTTCGTATTATTCAGTCCTAAGTTAGAAGGGTCTGGGGAAGGCTAAGGCATTCCCGTATCTTACCGACCTGGGAAACTGAGACCCAGAAGGGGACCCGTGTACTCCAGGTCGCAGAGCGTATTCGCGGAGCGACCACGTCCCACAGCGCCGCGTTCACACGCACCGCGCGCTCGCTTCCATAGCTACTAGCATCGGTGTGAGAGTGATGGGAACCGAGGCCAGGGATGTCCAGTGACCTGCCCGGGACCACCTGCCCTATTGGAGCGAAGAAGCTGAGAGGAACCCGGGCAGATGTCGCATCTGTGATCAGGGCTGGACGCACCTCTTGTAAGATCAATGTTTCCTTCTTCTGATCAATTTTCTTAACGCTCGGAATTTTTTTTTTTTTGTGGTTCTCAATTCACTCTCGTCTGAGCTCCGTGGTGGTTAAATTTTGCGAGTTTGTGTTGGTGGGCCCAGGTTATGCGGATCCCTGGAGCTGGGCAAGGTGACCCTAGGCTTCGGGTGGCCTGTGCCCCCTTGGACGTCGGGTGCTGGACTTCAGGGTAGGCCTATCTTCAGTGACACCTGCGCAGCACACGGGGCCACCTCCACCGCTGGCTATTCTTAGTTTTATTCATCGACCTGAGTACAGCAAAGGAGGGGGTGGCCTAATCGAGGAGCTCCTAACGCCTGGGACTGGCCGGAAAGCGGCACTGTGTTCCTAAGGCGCCTGGGCTTCGAAGTCTCTCCCTCTCCGGCCGGAGGCTGGGGGGCGAGTGGCAAGTCCGCACCAGCGAGACTTTCAAACTCTGCTGCGGCGTGGCCGCTGCGTGCTTGTTATACCAAGCAGAAATCCGTTCTCTCCTATGAAAACAGAATGCCTTTCACTTCTGCAAAATTTATTACCAACTCGTAATTGTATTATGACCAGTGAGTCTTAGTAAGGTTTGTGTCTCTTGAATCTGTCCACGTGAGGTTTTTATTCTGTCATTTCTCAAACTCCTTGGTCTCAGGCTCCCTACAAGATAAAAAAGTATTGAAGTCTCCAAAGAGCTTTTATTTATGTGGGTTAATGGAAATATTAGTAAAACACAAGAATACACATGCACACGTGTCATTAACCATCGCGGCAGTGATGTTGTCACATGCCTCTAGCCTCTACAAAATTCTGCTTGTGCCATTGTGAGAGAATGAGAGTGAGAGAGGAAAATATCGAAGTATTTTGAAAATAGTTCTGACTTTACAGACTGTTTGAAAGGGTCATAGGAACATCTGCAGGTCCCTGGACTACATTTTGAGAATCACTCTTCTATTCAGTGGGCAAATTGCCTCATCCCCTGCAGAGATGAAAAGGTCAGTCAGTGGCAGAGCTGTAGCTTGACCTGTGTGCTCTAGAGGACGCTTGGGGTGGCTCCCCCAGAGGGTTGAGGTCTTGAGATTGTAGAGTCAAATTCTGGAATCCAGCCTCCAGTTCAATGTGTCAGTGTACTATGGCTTTCTGGAAGGACTGTGGCTTGAGAGCTGATTTGGTTTTCAGCTTTTGTTAATCATTAGAGAGGTCTCCTGAGCTGAAGTCCATCCACAGACACGGCAGGCTATACCCTGAGCACCACACTGGCCTCCTCTTTTCCTTATCAATAGTCAAACAGAACTCTTGAGTTCTTTACTACTCCTACCTGCGTTCTTTCACACTTGCTGTTTCTTCTCCCAGCTGTGCATGTGCTTGCTTCCGTAGTCTCTGCTCAAATGTCTCTCAGGAGATTCTTCCCGATTTCCTACTAAAGATCGTGCCAATCGCCCCGCCCCGACCCCACCCTCTCTGCCCTCCTAGCTGCCTTCCCTGGTTTTTTTCTCTGTTGCACTTAACCATCATCTGATAAAATTTTTGTTGATTGTAACAAAAGTTATGCAATCTTCATAAAGGTAGGGACTTTTGTCTGTTTTTTTGCTACTGCATCCCCAGTGCCCAGGAGGGTGCCCAGCCATAGGAGATACTCCATAAATATTCGTTGTGTGAAAAAGGTAAACTAAAGCGAACTTACTTTAGTATCATTCTAGCTGGTCTGCTGAAGAGTGCTTTTGGACAAGTGCAGTTGTCACAGGTCCCGGGAAGCTGGGATGGTAGGAGCCGAAGGGTGCACTGGCTCAGGGACTTAGTTCACATCACACGGGTTGTCATTGTGCTCTTTTGTTTCATTTTGTGGATTACACACCCGTGTGTTAAAATCTCCATTGATTCAGTTGCCAGAACTTGAAGCTTCTTGTGTCCCCATTATCCACTGCATTGTCTTTTTCTTTTAGGATGTTGCAGCAAGATTTTAAAAGGATATTTTAATAGGGGTAGTTGTTTTCTTTTAAATCATCATAATGTTAAAATACATGGTTTCTTCTAGTAGCATGTGGTGGCCACAGCGATAGTGAAATGGGGTAGTAGAGCAGTTGTGTGCATGCGTGCGTGTGTGCTTGCGTGTGCACGCGCGCATGTGTTTGTGTGTGTGTGTGGACAAACAGCTCTACCCCCAGGATGGCTGCGTGAGGAAGGCAGGGGCAGTTAGATCAGTGCAGCAGCCTAGGGGTTCACCTGTGGGCAAAGGCAAGGTCAGAGCTCCCTGATCAGAAGCCTTGAAGATTCTTCCTTCTGTTTGTGCCGTTCCCAAGCCATGCCCTGTGGGGCAGTGTCTGTGGCCAGCAGGGACAGTTGCTGGTGCAGAGTGCTCAGCGGGACAGGGCGCCCAGCTCCGAGTTCCATTTATTCAAGAAACTCTTTGAGGGTTGTTTCTTTAAAAACGCTTTAAAACCCCTGCTTGAAAAAAAGTGGAAGCCCCACCCCGCAATTGTATTATCCTGAAAAGAGAGAATGGGAAAAGGTGGCAAACTGAGGATTTAACTGTGTCAGTATGGATTTATCTGGGCAGGTAATCAGGGCTCAGGAAGGGGAGCTGGGTAGACTTTTCTAGATTTGGAGTCAGGGAGCGCTCCTGAGCAGCAGTGTACCTCCGAGGGTATTAGTTGAAAAAGGTAGGACTTTGAATCTCAAGTAAAGTCTTATGCATATTAAAGCCACTTAATGTGTTTAAAACCTGGGCCTCAGGAGCCAGCCTGTCTGGCTTCAAATCCTGGATCCACCACTTAGCAGCTGTGAGACTTTGGCTAACATCATAAACCTTTAAGGCCTCTGGAAATGACCAGTGTCCTCCCACTTCCTTTCCTGTTTTCTCCTGAATGGGCACTGGGCAGGTTTTCACCCCGTGCCACCAAAACCGTTCTTGTCCAGGTCCCCAGTGACCTTGGTGTTACTCCATCCAGTGGTCAGTTCTCAAATCCTCAACTTCTTTGGCCGGTCGGTCACACTGAACTCCCCTGCTTACTTTTTCCTCCTTGAAGCACTTTCCTTTGATTGGCTTCCTGCTTATCTGATTTTCCCAAGAACCTTACTGACCACTTCTCTTCTTTTGCTGGCTTCTCTTCTTTCCCTTCACTTCAAAAAGACCATTTCTAGACCTTTTCTCTCCTGTTTACTCTTGAGTCCCTTGGAGCGCTCATCCAGTCCCATGGCTTTAAATAACACCTAAATGGTGACAATACCCTCATTTCCATCTGTGGCCCAGGCCTCTCCCAACTCCAGACTCACGTGTCCACCTACCATGCTGACCACTTGGATGTCTGCCTGACTGCTCAATTCAGCAGGGCCAAACAACCCATCTTTTTTTTTCCCCCCTCCATCCCCTGTCTTCTTCATCTCAGTTGATGGCAACTTTGTTCTTTTAATTAACTTTCATCTGCAAATCCTGTTTGCTCTAGCTTCCAGAAATCTGATCACGTTTTTATCAGTTCTGCCACAAACCACTCTGTTCTCTCACTTAGGTTATTCTAGCAACTTCCTAACTGACCTTGCATCTGCCCTCATCCCGCCATCATCTATGTGCCACGGCTGTTAGAATGATCCTATTAACACATTAAGTCAGTGCATGTCACTGCTCTCACAAAAACCTGCGCTAGATCCCGTCCTACTGAGCATAAAAGCCTGAGCCCTACTGGCAGCCCACACGCCCTGAGTGGCCTGGCCTCCCTCCCTCTCCGACCTTTGCTGCTGTTTTCCTCTTTAGTCATCATGCCTCAGGGCCTTTGCATTGCTGGCCCCACCTCCTAGAGGGAATGCTCTCCTCTCAGATAGCTCTGTCCTGGCAGACATTCAGTGACTTTCCTAATCACCCAGTTTAAGACTGCATTCCTCCCCGACTAGTGCTCTCTGCTCCCTTTCCCACTGCCGCGCTCTCTATAGCAGGTATCACTACGGTACCTGGACCAGGGACCTGCGCTTCATTCACTGCTGTATTGCTGGTGCCTGAATGCCTAGAACAGTGCTCAGCACATGGTAGACACAGTATAAATTATTGTGGAATGAATGCAGTTGGCTGCTCTTTACATCATTATTATTATCACATGGCTGGATGCCAGAACATGTCCTTTTTTTTTTTTAAAAAATCTTAGCAGTTTTCAGGAAAAGATCATATAAAGACCCTATTTCTAGACTAACAGTTATTGAAAAGGCGACAATAAAATAAATAATTAAATGAAAATGGGTACATAGAGTTGAACAGACATTGTTTAAATAGAAGTGCGGGTGCTTTGAGGTAGGATGGAACTTTAGGGAGATTATATGAATTGCAAACCAAAACGAACAACCTTCTCCCTTCCCTTACTGCCCACCCCCATCATGCCCCCATATACACCATGATCGTGCCGTATGGATTTAGTTTTCCTGAAAATATATTTGTTTAATATTATGGTCGCCTGATAGATGAGAGTTGAATTAGGTGCCCATGGATTTAATAGTAACATTTTGGCCCCTTTTCTGCGTCTCCCCGTTGGAAACCATGTAGAAGTCCTTCAGTAGGCCGTGTGGGACTTGCGTGACCAGGTTTCTTACATAAGTCATTGGTGCCCAGTTGCGTCACCATCCAGGACCTTTTCGATGATCAGCTCTTCCCCCTAAAATGAACGAATAACCAAACTAAACCTATGCTTGGAAAGCCACCTCTAGCAAACCCTTTGTATTTATAGGTAATTATTTTGTTACCCATTTGAAATGAACCAAGGCCATGACGGTCAGTCTCAGCTTAAAAAAGAATTTTTTTTTAAAATCCTCACCTGAGGACATTTTTAAAATTGCTTTTAGAGAAAGCCTTCAGAAGGGAGAGAGAGAAGCATCAGTTTGTTGCTTCCTGTACACACCTGAACTGGGGAAGGAACCAACAACCAAGCATGTGCCCTGACCGGGAATGGAACCTACAACCTTTCCGTTATGGGACGACACTCCAGTCAACTGAGCCACACCAGCCAGGGCAGTGGCTGCTTTTGAATAGCATCTAGTTAGTGTTTTTCAACCAGCTTGATATAATTCTTCCCAACAAGGATACATTTGATTGCTTAATTAGCCGAGGCAGCCATTCTTTGATAGACGTACAGTTTCCTTTTGGCTTTTTAAAGTAATTAAATGACTCCAGGAACTCTCATTATTCCGTAAGAGGATGTCTGAAGACTGAGACGAGACCCTATACATAATTCATCTCCTAATATTTATTTAACCATTAATAGATTTTAAAAATACATTCTTCTATTCATTTATTTAATAATTACCTGTCTAATTTGTTTATTTCCATAACCTATAGCACGGTTGTTATGCAACTTTTACAGATGAGGAAACTGAGGTACAGAGAAATGAAGTGTCTTTAAAAAATCTCAGTGGGGGAGCTGAGACAGAAACATAGTTTAGGCTCCCCTGCCCCCAAATAGTGCACTCTTGAAAAGCTATGTGAGCAGAACTGTAATTTAAATACTTTAAAAAACAAGGTCATAGTCTGGGGGCTAGTGAGATATGTTCTCCTTGGCTTGCGGGGCATTTAATAAAATTGCGGCAACATTTGCCAACTGGAAGATCTTAATTTAAATGGAGATTTCTAGTTTCTTTTGAAGAGTCCATTCCGGAGCACCAGGCCTGTTCCTCTGCAGCCAGTGCTGGTTCAAGGAGGTAACAGTGGGCTCCTCGGGTGTCCTTAACCTGTCCCACAGGCCTCCTTGGAGTCCCTTGAGATCCCCTGTTTAACTTTTGCTCAATTCATGCTAGGCAGGCATGGGGGCAAACTTGCCTTTAATCAGTGTTTTGAATGGAAAGTGTTAAAGGAAGCTGAAGTGGAGGCTGCATTGAGGACTCCCGCTCCTGACAGGTGAATCTACGTGGACTTAAAAGTCTGAATCGTATTTTGATGATTTTTCCTCTGCACTGTGACTTGTCTCTCTAATTCATTTTTTCTTTTAAGTTCCTGACCCTTCATATCATGCCTCCTTTTCTCTTAGCAAAGTGAATTGAACTCCTTCTTGTGGACCATAAAGAGAGACCCACCATCTTACTTCTTTGGCACAATCCATGTCCCATACACACGGGTTTGGGACTTCATCCCGGACAATTCCAAGGAGGCTTTTCAGCAGAGCAGCATCGTGTACTTCGAGCTGGACCTCACGGACCCCTATACTATCTCCGCCCTCACTAGCTGCCAAATGCTGCCACAGGGCAAGAACCTCCAGGATGTGCTCCCCAGGGACATCTACTGCCGCCTCAAGCACCACCTAGAGTATGTCAAGCTCATGATGCCCTCGTGGGTGACCCCAGACCAGCGTGGTAAGGGCCTCTATGCGGACTACCTCTTCAATGCCATTGCGGGGAACTGGGAGCGCAAGAGGCCCATCTGGGTCATGCTCATGGTCAACTCCCTGACCGAAGTGGACATTAAGTCCCGTGGGGTGCCTGTGTTAGACCTGTACCTTGCCCAGGAGGCCGAGCGGCTGAGGAAACAAACTGGGGTGGTGGAAAAGGTAGAAGAGCAGTGCCATCCATTGAATGGGCTGAACTTTTCACAGGTAAGAACGTTTTCGCATGAAGGACTTGACGTATGATTGTGTGAGTGAATTGGCTGAATTACAGTACAGGAGAAGGACCAGAGGCAGTTTACCTAAAAATTGTCTTTGCTCAAGAATATTATTCTGGGGATTAAGAATAAGCCTAATAGTTACATCGCATATTTGTGTATTACCAAGAGAAAAAATTCGTTTTTTTTTCTTGTAATCCCAACAAGTATTATATTTTTTATCGCTTGTTTTAATTCAGGTAATTCGTTAAGAAGCTGCTTTGAGAGGAGGTGGACAGTGTGAGTGGGAGGCTGGCTGTCATGGGGTACGGCTTGATTTGAAAGTGATACTGGCCATGGCTGTTTTAGGTGACATTAGTCTCTTTGAAATCATTGCTGTCCCTCTCGGGACACTCCTCCCGGGACTTTCCTTTCCAAGGCAGAAGTATGCTCCTCTTACTCAACATTTATAGATCCTACTTCAGGGTATTGGGATTTAGGTTGATGTTCAAGAAGTTCTTTACTTCTCATGAGACAAGCAATACTTTATAAAAGTGCCATTGTTTAATTGTTCTGGTGAAATTTGCTGTTGATGTTTTAAGGTGCACTAGATACCTTTGGGGGAGAATGCGAATTTTGCAGTATGAAATAAGTATTCCTGTTTTGCAAATATTCTCAGTGCTTGGTCTTGGGAATAAAACCCAACTATCTAAGCTTTAGCAAGATCTTAAAGTGCTGAGCTCAGTTTGTTATTTAAAGGGTTTAAGGACATTCAGCAGCCTGAAAATAATGTTCCTGAGTTGATAATGAAATTTTTAGGGAATTAACCTTGTTAAAGTCCTATAATATTAATAAATACTCAGATGCTAAATACAGTGTTTGTTTGACACATTGAGATTTATAGACAGGGTAAGGGACTGCTAATTGTCTGCACTGATCTCCTAAGGGGATTTTCTTACATTATTTTGGAAACCTAAAGAGCCACTGTTCTAACTTTTTCATTGTCTACATTTAATACAAAGTTTTGTAAAAGAAAGGTGCTTTGATTTAAAGGTTCATCGATTTTAACTTTACAAGTTTGAAATTGTGAGCATCTCTACCTGAGTCAAGCTTTTTTTTTTTTTATTTAACAAATATTTATTTTATGTTTGAAAAAGAACTTTAAAATTTTATTTTTCAAGTACAGTTTATATTCAGTATTATTTTGTATTAGTTTAAGGTATGTAGCATAGTTGGTTAGACAATCATATACTTTACAAAGTGGTCCCCTGATATTTCCAACATGCACCTGGCACCATATGCAAGTTATCACATTATTGACTATATTCCCTATGCTGTGCTTTACATCCCTGTGACCGTTTCATAACTATTAATTTGTTCTTCTTAACCCCTTCTCCTTTTTCACCCAGTCCCCCCAGTGCCCTTCTCCTCTGGCAAACATCAGTCTTTTTTCTGAGTCTATGAGTCTGTTTCAATTTCGTTTGTTTATTTTATTCTTTAGATTCCACATATAAGTGAAATCACATGGTATTTGTCCTTTTATTATTGACTGATTTCACTTAGCATAATACCCTCTAGGTCCATCCAAATTGTAAGATTTTGTTCTTTTTTATGGCCACTTAATATTCCATTGTATACAGAGTCTGGCAGAAGTTAATGCCTGCCTCAGTGTGGTTGGTGAGGTATGTGAATGTCTCGCACAAGATGGACAGCAATTTGGACATTTCCCCTAAAGTGTCCTATGCTGTGCTTGAGTGCGATATTGTTATGTTACAGAATTACATGCTTATGATTTTGTAATAAAAAAGGGGTGTTATTTGTGCTGAACCCTGTATATGTACCACAGCTTTTTTATCCACTCGTTTATTGATGGGTACTTGGGTTGCTTCCACATCTGAGCCAAGCCTTCTTTTATACTTCCAGTTAGAAGGGAAAAAGGCTTGGAAGTAAATTATTGTATTAAGCAAGACATCTTTGAAGGAAGGCGTGTAGCACTGTCTCTTAAGATAATACATTTAAGAGATATTTTAGAGCATCATTGCTCTATGCTAGAGCATCACTGATTTCATGAAACATTCTTAACGTTCATGTGTAGGCATTTATTATTTATAAACTAATATTTTTTGGAAGACCTTGAGGTTAAGCTGGTGAGGTTAGAGTTGTTTAAATTTAGGAGGAAAAAGTTGTATGGCTTATTCCTGAGACTTTCTTTTTTTAGTGTAACTCCCCTATGTTTTATTTATAAAGAGTAAAATACAGCCTTAGTGCATAGCTCAATGACGTTTAACATACGCATACACCCATATAACGACCACTTGGATTAATTTGTTGAACATTTCCATCACTTCAGGAAGGTGGAATAAAGTTTTTATTGCAGCATAACTGGACTGAAAAGTGCACCTAATACATTTTCACTGACAGGGTCATGTGTCCAACACCCAGGGCAGGAAACAGAACAACACCCACTCCCCAGAAGCCCCTTGTGCCCCACCCCGCCAAGGATAATCACTACCCTGGACATCTTTGAGTAGAAATTATTTGACTGTTGTAGAACTTCACATAAATGAAATTACCCAGTATGCCCTCTTTAGGGCTTGGTTTCTTTAGCTCAGCGTTACCCTTGTGACTCACCTGTGTCGCTGTGTGTAGTTCGTCCATCATTCACTCTCTCTGCTGTGTAGAGTTCTATGAGCGTTTTTGGGGTGGCGGTTGATGGAGTCTTCCTTCTCACAAAGTCCAGAGTGCGGTAAGATCACATGCACTTGCTTTGCTATAAGATGAGCCCTAGAGGCCTAACTCATTCCCTAGGGACCCTTTCTTCTCCTGCCCATTCGAGCATGGGTGGCTGTTTCCTTCCTCCTTGGTGTCTGTAGCTCTGAAGAAGGAAATCAGTGGCTGCCTGATTACTCAGGGAGCTGGGGGTGGGGTGGCAGTTGTGGTATGGCCGATGGCCCGTCCCCTCAGGCTCCTGAGCCCACTTTGCTGGCCAGCTGCCTGCAAGGGGCAGAGAGCACTGGAGCCAGGAGAGCCTGCTTGCACAGCCTGCCTGGGAGGAGTCCTTAGGGCTTCTGCTCCAGGGCTCCCGCCTCTTGGATTGTAGGGAGGGGGCAGGAGGATTCTGAGAGACTGAGGCCCAGCGGAGGCTGAATTACTGCAGGTAGTGAAAGAAGCACGGGATCCCGTCAGAGGCGCTGGACTTAGAATTCCTACACTGTCACCAGCCTCTCACTTTGAGCTCTTCACTTCTCTGAACTTTGTTTTCTCACCTTTCAGATGTGGATACTACTAACACTTTCCTTACCATCCTGTTGTTGGAAGCAAATAAAACAGTTAATTGGGAAACACTTCATAAATACTATACAGATATAAGGGAGGGAGGATAAACGTATAGTGCCTTTTCTGAGCCAGTTCTCATTTGTAATTTTACATTTAATCCTCAGGATTTTACAAGATGAGTACTATCATCCCTGTTTGATAGATAAGAAAACTGAAGCTCAGTGAGTTTAGGAACCTTGTCCATGATCACATAGCTAACAGTTGAAGGAATTTGGGCTTCATATCAGATGTGATAGAGGTCACCATGACTTTGAGTCTCCAACAGCATATGGTGGTCAGGTGAGACCCTGAGTTTTGAGTTGTAGCAGAGGATTCTGGACTCCTACTGTCCAATTCATTAGTGGCTGGCCACATGTGGCTGGCTATTGAGGACTTGAATTATGGCCAATGTGACCAAGAACATAAATTATTAATTTTACTAAATTTTAATTAATGCTAATAAGGGTTTAAGAAGTTACACTTGATGCATTGATTGGAAAACTTTTAAGTATGTTTGGAAAAACTTGAGAATGTAAATCTCCTTTTTTACCTGTAAATTTTATGGAAGTATTTCTGATGAAAATTTAGTGTCCAAATTGAGATGTGCTGTGAGTGGAAAATACTACAACAGATGTGAAGACCAAATATGAAAAAAGAATATAAAATATATCATAAATAATATTTTATATTGATTACATGTTGAGATGACAATACTTTGAATGTATTGGGTTAAAGAAAATATTTTATTTAATTTCATTTTTTTTCTCTTTTTAAATGTGGCTACCAGCAAATTTAAAATTAGATAGGTGGCTCATCCTCTATTTCTGTTGAGCAGTGCTGATCCAGAACATTTCTGGCCAATGAAAGAACATTTCTGGCCATCTGAGGCTGGTCCACTTGGAGGCTGAGCTGCCTGTGACTGGTCCCAGCGCTGCCCTCTTTGCCACCTGCCCGGGCAGGGCTCAATTCTGGAGAGCCTTTCAGTGCCTATGGCTGCCTCTTCTGGCATCAGCTTTTCTCTATTGACTTGCAATGCGCTTTCATTTCAACACTTCACCATTACACGTACACACTCACTCTCTCTCTCTCTCTCTTATACTCATTCTGTTTTTGGACTTCACATTTTGTTCCGTTGATCTGTTTGCCCCTTTCTGTGTCAGTGTTATATTCTTAATAACTGTAGCTTTATGCTACGTTAAAACAGTTTGATAATGATGTCATTTTCCTTAATGATTCTTAAAATCATTTTGATTATGATTTTGTTAATTTCTAGATGCATTTACATTTTTCATGTTCAATCCTGTAATCCAAGAATGTGTTATCACTTTTTCCATTTATTTTAGTCCTTCTTTTTATTTTGTGGAGTTCTTGATCTAGATTTTGCTCAATTCATAAGTTTAGTCATTGTTTTTAATATAAATTTTGCTGACGTAAAGACTTATCTCATATCTTCCATTTGGTTACTAATTTATATATTGATTTAACTACTTAATTAAAATCATGTATTCTAACAATGTTAGTTGATTCTCTTGCTTACTTAGTGAGCAGACATATCATTGGTAAATAATTTCATCTTCACCTTTGCACAGTTTGCCTCATTTCTTTTTCTTGCCCAGCTATGTTGGTTAGGGTACTTAGCACAGCATTAAGTAGTGGTGGTAAGAAAGGGCATCCTTCCTTTCCCTAACTTGAATGAAA